AAGAGCATCTATTACCTTTTTAATGAGAAGAAAATGTGCTTTTAAAATAAAAGTGTTGCAGCCAGATGTGCAGCTTTGAACATCCTGAAATCTTACAGAATTCTGGAAGAAGGAAACACAAGACTCATGGAAACCAAACTATCTCTCGTTCAAGAGGATGAAACCAGGTCTAGAGAATGAGAGTGACCTGGCCGCAGTGGCCCAGCTGGTTAGTGGCTGGTCTGTGAGAGACCCCAGGTCTCCAGCTCTCGGACCAGAGGGCTTTGAAGTGTTCCATGCTTTCCAGGGACCTGCCTCCCTTCCTTCCCGCCCTGTGAGGGTGACGGAAAAACCACAGGAAGTGCACTGATTCTGAGGGTGGAGAAGTATGTAATAGCCTTTGCAGAGAGGACTTTGCAGCTCTCATTATTCTCTCTCTGGGAGTTAGTAGGTCATTTGCAAAAGGCATGGGAAGAGCAGCTGATGAAAAGGTCTAATAGTTTGGAAAACTGCTTAACCTTATTTCTCTATTTCTGGATTTCCCCCAATGGCCAAGGACTGTTGAGATCCTGATTTCCCCCGGAGGTTTCCTGTTTAGGAATGCAGTGAAACCTCTGAAATCCAGAGGAATTGGGGAGAAGGCCAGCTGGAATTAGGGAACGGTCTGAATACTTTTTAAGAACATTCAGGTCTATTGTTTTCAAGGACATGGAGACACACATTTGGAAGGAGCTTAGTCCAGCCCCTGCTTGATGCAGGAACCCTTTGTACTTCATCCCCACACAGAGCTTTATTTGGGCTTCTCTTGAATGCTTCCAGTGACAGGAGGCTCATTCTTCTGATAGATAACCTATTTCGATCTTAAAGTCCTTTTTTCACCTGGGCTAGGAATCTACCTTCCTCTAAGTTTCTGCTTACCTTCTGGTGTTCACATAAAATTGATGTGCTCCTTTTCCCCCCAGATGGTCCTTAAATATGTGAGGGCAGGTACCATGCATCAAATAGGTCTTCACAACATTCTCCTCTGCCAGCCGACCACCCTCAGGATACTCAATCATTATTTATATGACAAATGTCATCAATTCTAGTTAGAATTACGAACTACTGGCTGTACTTAGCTTCTAAATTAATGGCTATATGAATTCATACCTGAGTGGAGCTTAGAGGCCCCCTGCACTGGCCTCATGATTTTACAGATGAGCAAACTGAGGTCCACTGAGGAAAACGGCCTGACCCAACATGAGAGAGAGAGCGAGCCCGAGTGGAGACCTGAAACCTACCTGCCTGAATCCCAGGGCAGGCCTCTTTTTGCCTCACCCTGCCTCCTATTATTCAATAAGATACCAGTATTTCTCAAGCCCTTGAGAGTGCTTGGGAAGTTTGCTCTCTTAGGTATTTCAAAAATGCCTCCTTCCCATTGTATTTGCACACTGTCAGTGAAGGAGGGATTAGTGCAGGGCCGAATTTCGTGGACGTGATACTGTCCGTGAAAAGTCTCGTTCCAAGTGCGTTCACTGTCCTTGCTCTCCGCTGTCAGAAGACCATCTCCCTGGCCCTGGAAGGCGACTGCTCAAAATGAAGAGCACCCCTGAGAGGGCCGCGTCGGCCTGCCACATTTCCCATCAGGTCCCAGCTGCCCGCTCCATTTCCGAGAACTTCCTAACTTCGGAACCAAAAATGAATGCGGGATGTAAGGCTGGCTGTGTTTCTGCTCCACCCCGGTGCTCCTTTTAAAGTTTCAGATCCTCTTTTCAGCGTTGCCCGATTCTCAATGAAAAGACAAAGCAAAGGCTCGGAGAAACAAACTAGGCACTTGGGTGGTTGGTTTCCTGTCCCAGTCCCCGGCAGCCCTGCCGTCACATGCTTCGAAGGGCACATTCCTTCCTGTCCCAGCCCACAGCAACCTCCCTCTTCTCTCGGCGAGGTATTGCGTTTCAAGCTCTTACACTCTTTCTGGCATGGATTATGAGCTGCCTTGGGCTGCTTCTTGGTCTGCAGGGGTTTGGACTCACAGGGACCCGGGTTCCAGTCCTGACTCTGCAGCTCACCAGTTTGTGCAGCTTTGGAAGGTTACTTAATCTTTCTAAGCCTCTGTCGTCCCATTTGTTAGGAGAGGACAATTATCTTGCCTACATCATAAGGCTGTCCAGATGACGTAATGCCTAAAAAGGTGTCTAGCACCGTCCCGATCATTTAGTAAGATTCCATAAAAGGGATCTGTTTAGTATTATTCATCTTCTGCTATAGAAGGTAGAGACTGAAGCCTCCGCTCTTCTCACGCTGCTCACGGTAGGTGCTCCATAAATGCCCCTGACTGATTCTAGCCTGCGCTTCTTTTGGTAGTAGTTTCACCAGAACTATACTAAGTGTTGCGTGACACCAGGTCCTACTTCCAAGCCCCCTTTGCCCCAGATTCCTTCCCCTCGTGGTGACCTCAGTGGGGAGGCCCACCCTGACCCGCCACTCGGTACGCCTGCCAGCTTGCATCTCAGGATAAGGTTCTCGTTTGACAGATTCTGGGAACTTGCCGTCCAGGCAAAGAAAACTTTATGATGATGCATCCAACACAAACCTTATGTAACCAACCTGTCAGCAAACGGAGGGACAGAGGGACACCGACAAATGCCTGCCCACCTCCCCCCATCCAAAGCGCAAAACAAAAGATGACAGAAAGCAAGGGATCAAGACCTGCCTAAAATGCCCGTTTGTCAAGACCCTTAAAACCGATCAAAGTTTTTATATTAAAAGGATTCCTAAAGGAATATGGCTAAACTCCCTTGTACCTGAATTTTAACTGAAATTACATCAGATGCTTCTCTAACCAAAAGAATATATATACAACATTTTTTTTAAAACAATGTTTATTGTCCACGGGACTTACAACGATGACAGAAAAGTTTACAACATTTTTTTTTCTACTTGAAATTTCTACCTGGAGTGGCTTGGAATTCCTGGTGGGCTAAGGAATCTTGTAGCTTCCCCCTAAACGCTGAGGATATCCTAGTAGACTCTTGTTGAGTAAAAGAACAATTCTTTCTCTTGCCTCTATTGCGGATTATTTGGTCATTGCCTGAATTTTGAGCTAAAGACCTGAGAGCAATAAAAACATCCACTGAAAGGAGTTTGTTATATGACAGCCCCAGGGAAAAGCTTCCACAATTGAGGGTGAGGACAGAAGTCAATGACCATGCGGTGGAGGGAACACAGCGGTTCCTGAACTAACAGCCAACAGTTGGCTTCTCCGGCTGTAGCCCCGTCTCTCACATCCTTGGCTTCTTACCTTGGGCAGGTCATTACCCCTCACAGATTTTTCATCTCCTTGGATGCCCAATGCTTTCTATGGGCTCTTGCAAGTCCAAGATCCGGTGAGGCTACCAGGAGGGTGAAGATTAGCTGGAGAAGCGGCCCACACCTCTGGGTGGGGGGCCCAGAGCAGGTGGAGAATGTGAGAACGGGCAGGTAAGCCCTTGGAGAAAAAGCAAAAGTGCTGAAGGGCACCCACTTTCCCATTCGTCATGGCACGTTCCAGAAACTCGGGCACCTAGCTTTCTCCCGAGAGCTGAGTGTGCACCCGGACACCCATCACTGAGCTGACAGGAAGCAGAGGAAGCCAATGCTTTTCTGGTTGGGGACCTTGGCTGGGACAGAAGGGAAGAAAGAAGTGGAGTCAGCTTCAGGAGCGGGTGAAATGGCAATGAACCTGCAGGCTGATCCTCTCCAGGCTGGCGTTGCCAAGGAGGACGGTCCACTCGGTCAAACCTGGGCCAAGCTCTGGCTCAGACACACGGGCAAAAATAGAAAGGGGGTGGGAGAAGAAATGTGTTTACTTTTGTGATTTTCCCTCCTGTGCCTCTTCACGGTATTTGAATCTCTCCACAAAAAAGCAGTAGGACTCCCAGGCCTGGCCTCCACGGATAAGCCCTACCAAACACTGCACGTCCCCCCCCCCAATACAGTCAGTGTCGGGGCGGCTGGAAGGTGAGTTCGGAAGGCAGCATGGGGGGTGGAGGGAAGAACGCTGGCCCGGGGTCTGTCACAAACTGGGCGACCCATGGAAAATCCCTCTCGGATGCTCTGCAAAATCAAGTGGTGGCATTAGACAGAATCTAAAAATCTAAACAGATTTCTATCTGTGGTTCTCAATCAGGGGTGACTTCACCCCTCGAGGAGTATTTGGCAAGGCCTGGAGACATTTTTGGTTGTCACAATTCAGAGGGCGCTCCTGGCATCTAATGGGTAGAGGCCAGGGATGCTGCTGAACGTCTGACCACGCATAGGACGGCCCCCCACCACGGAGAATCATCTGGCCTGCAAGGTTAATAGTGCCGAGGCTGAGAAGTCTGGCTTTATACCCGAGTGAGGAGGGTTTATACCCGAGTGAGGAGGGTCAAAGGGAGAGGGGGAAAGAGACAGAAGTAAAGAAGGAGGAGGGGCTGCAGTCCTGTTCCGAGCTCATGAGGTATTCATTGGGTAAGTGTTTTCCAGCTTTCTCCCTATGACCAGTGCCCTTTTCAGTTTCCCTTGGAATTCCAGGGCTGTGTTTTAGTGGCTTGCTCATAAGAGCTTCTTCCTTATCTTTAAAATACCAAACCCTGACGCAGTGCAAAGATCTCCACTATAAGATGCAGCCAACATATAAAAAAAGCAGCTATTAAACAAGTAGGACTGGAAGGTGGGCGGCAGGGGCGCACAGAGGGACAAAACAGATGCCCATAAGTCCGCTTCTGTGAGTCAGTGTTTCTGCTGTAACAACACAGAATCATCACCATAGGACCAGCGAGACCAGCTCTGCTGACTGACGGCAGGCAGAACTGCTCTGAGGCACTGGCATTAGGAGAGATACAGGTTTGCGGCGGCAGATTCAAAGGCAAAGGAAAGGGTTAAGCAATCAGTGCATGCCATTCCTGTATCATTCCATATGAAGTCCCTGGGCAGTTATTACAAATAGTTACCTGCGGTTTCCAGTGGGGGAGGCGACCACACTCCGGTCAAGGGGTTTTGGAGAAACAGGTGCAATGAAGTCATGGTCAAACACTTTATTTACTGTAAACTTTAGACTTTGCTCAGGAACACAACTGAAGCTGCCCCTCAAGTCCCTGCCTACAACACCCTGTTTGAGCAAATAAGAGGAGCGGGGAGAGTCCGTGTTCACAGCTGAAAGGTCCGAGATACTCAAGGTCCTCCAGTGCAAGGGTGCAGGAAGGAAAGACTCCTTCACATACAAATTACCAGCAGCAATATATATTACCCCTAATACTTGACCAATGAGGTAGATCCACGGGAAAAGTCATCAAAACATAGCAGCCCCAGGTCCTCTGGGACTGAAGCCTTTCAGACACAACCTGACACGTTCCATGCAAAAAAAGGAACCGAACTGTACAAGAAACAATCACTCGAATATGCTTTCTCTTTTTTACAGCTTAAAAAAATAAAAAAAGGCAGAAGGCTGTCCTTCCTCCTGCACATCTCTATACAATTTTATTCTAAATGTATTACACTCAAGTTAAATAGTCTGTTTAGTGTTTTGTTGGGGGGGGTTCATAAAAAGTAGAAAAACTGTATTAGAGCAGTGAGTCGTTTGTACTACAATTCCTCCCTTGTGAATCAATGCTATCATTAGGCACAGTACCTTGACGGTTCAAAAGGTCTTCCGTGCCTGGGGGGTCCTCACACAGCAGTTCGCTGTCTTTCTCCTGCCCCAGGTGACATCCACTGTGCTCCCCAGCATAGTCGGTTCTGCTGCTACTGTTGTTGGAGTAGCCATTCCCACAGGCCTTCAGAGAAGACCTGCGCAGGCACAGAAGCTCCTGGAAGGCAATCCTGAAGTCTGGGCTCCGGCAATAGATGAGGGGATTGAAAGCAGAGTTGACGTAGCCCACCCAATTTAGAAGGATGTAAACTTCCTTGGGGATGAGGTTATCCTGGATCACGTGCACTATGTTGACGATGAAGAAGGGCAGCCAGCACAGGGTGAAAGTGCCCATGATAATGCCCAGAGTTTTGAGGGCTTTGTGTTCCTTCAGGCAGAACTTGGAGGCCCTGCGATGTCCATGCCCGCTCCGCCCATCGTGCTCCACTTGGCTGAGGTTTTGGGCGTGGAAGCGGCCCTCAGATTTGTCAATCTTCTGGAGCTGCCTTTGGGCCACCTGGAAGACCCGGGAGTAGACGAAGACCATGACCACCAGAGGAAAGTAGAAGGACACGATGGAGGAGGCAATGGCATAAGCTTGGTTCGTGAAGAAGTCACAGCAGGTCTCCTTGGCATAGCAGTTGATGGCTTCCTGGTGGGTGGCCCGGTACCAGTGCATCTGGATGGGCAAGAAGGAGGTAAGGCCTGACACGACCCACACCATCAAAATGACCACCCGGGCCTTATTCTTGGTCAGCAGGCTCTGGTACTTGAAGGGTGATGTGATAGCAAAGTAGCGATCCACTGCGATCACGCACAGGGTCTCGATGCTGGCCGTGACGCACAACACGTCAATGGAAGTCCAAAACTCACACCAGAAGTTGCCAAAGGTCCACATTTTCATGAGGATGTGGCTGGCCCCAAAGGGCACCACCGCCAGGCCCATGACCAGGTCAGCACAGGCCAGGGAGGTGATGAAGTAGTTGGTGACCGTCTGCAGGCGCTCGAACCTGGCGATGGCTGTGATGACCAGCACGTTTCCGAACACGATGGCCAGGACGATGAGCGACATGACGATGCCCATGCCCACCACCCACGCCTCGTTCCGTTCCTGCGTGCCATCTTGGTCCGGCGCGTGGCTTCCGTTGGGCGCCAGCAAGAAGACGCTGCGGTTCCCGGGCTGCCCCATGGCGCGCAGGCTGGCAGGTGAGCGCACTGGCTGCCGGCGCACCCGCCGCGCCTCAGCGGGCGGACCTCCCGCGCGGCGCTGCGGGCAGCGAGCGGACGCCGGGAAGCCTCATTCAGCGGCCGGGGGGTGGCTGTGCTGGGGGCGCGTCCTGCACTCAGCTCGCGGGGTGCTCCGGGCTCCCCGTGCGCGTTGGACCCGGCCGGCGCGCTGGAGAAGCCGCCCCGGACTGCGCGCTGCCCGTTATGTGCACAGGACTTTAGGGAACTGCCCTCCCCGTGACGTAGGGCAACTTTCGGCCAATGGCGGGCGGGCAGTCCCGAAAGGGCGAGGTCCCCTCCCCTCCCCGCACTCCCCTCCCCTCTCCCGCCCCCTCCTGGGGCTGGCCCGGGCGGGGCCCAGCTGCTCCCGGGTGGCGGGCGGGCCACCTCTCCCTGCCGGGCTTCCCGGTTGGCCCCGAGGCCTGCGGCTGGGGCTGGCGCGCTCACCGGCCGACCCGGGAGCCTTGGGCTCTTCTGGGGGCTGCTACCTGTCCGGCCTGGGCGCCTGGGCGGCCGCTCCCCAGCATTCGGAAACAGAGACGACGGTGCCCACCCAGACACGCACGGACAGGCACACAGGCACCCCGACAGACATGCTGAGACTTATACAGAACCACAGCCACCGACACGGAGACACACCCGTCCGGCGCACCCACAAGCACACTCGCGTGAGCGCGCACACAAAAGCCCACAGCACAAAGTCACCCCTGTCCAACAGAGACGGGGCCAAGAAACAAACACAGAAGCACCCAGAAGCCCAGAGGCACAGGCACACACACAGAAAGAAGTAAACAACACACAAACGCTCGCTTGGGGGGCAGGCAGAGCGCCACAGATTCGGACGTCCCCGTCCAGGTACTCCAAACCCCCTCACTTGTGCATACGACCCCCCAAACTCCCCCTCCCCCCGCAACACACACACGCACACAGGGCACATTCCCTTTCAAACATTTGGCAGGACCACAGGAGGCGACTTCAACAGCTGCCCGATTTCCTCAGCACGCTCACTGTCAAGTACTTTTGGTGCCCTCCTTGGGAATTTGCAGGCATTGAGACATACAATTTCACCCCTTGGTTTTCATTCGGAGCTGGAGCTGGGGTATGCATGTATGCATTTGAGGACAGAAAGAGAAGGTTGTGCGCTTAAATGTGTAATTCTTGGGAGTGTGGCATCACTCCCTGGTTATCTGTGGGAATGAAGATGAGTTGAAAATGGAATAATTTTCCTTTTAACCTCATCTTCTTCAGCAAGCCCACTGCAACTAGAAAAATCCTTTCATCTGCCATGCAGTTTGTTGATCTGTTGGGTCGAGCCATATGAAATTGCCACTCTTCTGTGGTTTCTGACTTTAAAAGTGTCAATTTCATATGGCTCAGACTATTAGGATGTGTTAACATTAAGAAAGTTTTGAAACCACAGGAAAGAAGATAATTTCTCCTTTAAAAAAAAAAAGTCAGACCAAGCCTTCAGACTAGGGTCTTTGTCCGGGAAATATTATCCTTTGCATCTGGGGTATGACTTTACTGTTAAAAAGAAATTAATTTTCAGGGTTTGATTTCACAAGTATTAGTAGCTTCTTTGAAAGACTGAAAGCATTTCATGCAGTGTAACCAAACATACTTTGTAGATTACATAATAACATAACAATGGCTAACATTTATGGAACATTCTGCTATGTACTTTTCATGCATTATTCCATTTAATCCTTCCCACAGTCCCATGGTGGGGGGAGTACTATTTTTAGCTTAATTCACAAATGGGGCTCAAAGAGGAAAATAGCTTGCCCAAGGGCACAGGGCCAGGCAGTGCCAGAGGCAGGAGATGAACCCAGGTCTTCTTGACTCTAAAACTCATCTTTTTGAGGTACACTATCATCACATGCAGAGGGGAATGGAGGCTAGACAAGAGACTACAACCAGAATTGGAATACTCAGGTTCCAGACCCCCTGTCATAGCACTTTCTAGCTTACCTTCCTTAGGCACATCAAAAAGATGGAGCCTAATATCTTCCATCTCTAAGTGGAGAATAAAGTCACTTCCGTTGGGCGGAGTGAGAATGGAATATATGATAATAAATGTGAAAGTACTTTTGCACATATATATGCCACACAAACATGGGTTATAAATGAAATGTATACAAATCACTTAGTAGTTTAGAACGTGTTTTTAGTCTTCTCTAATAGAACAATCAAATACTTTAGGACAAAAGTAACTTGGGTGTTTACTGTGGAAGTAAAGCTCAGAAACAAAATTTAACCTGCATGCTCCCTTTAACTTCCTTTACCAGCCAGAGATTGTTTTCACAGGACAGATGCCTTAAAAAGCAAATATTTCCCATCAAAGGCGCAAATATTAATTAAAGATCAATTATGTTCCTATGGTTTTCAAAATATACCCACCCCATATTTGTGTCTTCCAAAATTGGCTCTGGTATGATGCATTTTAGGAAGAAGCAGTGTCTGTTATGCAACACAGTTTCTTTAAATATACATCTAGCCCAAATTGTGGAACTAAGCCATTTAAAACCTCCTTCCTGTTTGCGAAGCTATGGAATAAATAAGCGTATTGTTTAACCTTCCCATAAAGACAACAACAAAAAGAACAAAGAAAGCCCTTTCAAGACAAACACTAATTGATCATTTAGATATACATATAAGTCATCTAAAAGTTTAACTTTGACTATTTTGGGAAACACCTTTTTAAAAACCCACAAACACTAAGTCAAGAAGGGAAGACGGCTTATGTCAACGAGGAGGTTCCAGGTTCTTACCCATCAGCTTTCCCAAATGGACAATCTCTCCTTCTCTCCCCCCACCCCCTTCTCGCCTTTTCTTTCTCTCTCCCTCCCTCTCTCCCTCCCTCCCTCTCCCTCTCCTTCTCTCTGCTGCATCACCAAGCTGGTAGGAATTTCAAGATGCTGTCTTCACACCAAGAGTCTTCTCCTGACCTCCTCTTAGAGTTACAGGAGTGGAGAGAGTTAGAATGGGACAGAGTTTAATAGATCATTCCGTTCATTTCCCCCCACCCCTCCAGTTTGCAAATGAGGAAACTAAAGTGCAGAAGTAAGAAGTGTCTAGTTGAAGGTGGCAGGCAAGATAAAGGGTCCAGGCCTGCTCTTCGCCCAATGCTGTCACTTCATTTCCCAGCAGAGTACTTTGGCCCTGCTCACTAGGCTTGCAGCCTTAGCGACTTAGTGCTTCAGCTGAACTGGGAAGTTCTTAGACTACATGCACCTTTATCTGATGTAAGAAAAAGCAGGCTCTTTTATGGTAATTGATAGTGTCTAATTACATATTTTGTCAATCCCTTAAGACACTGATTTGTCGTTTCCTGCCTGCCAAACAGAAACAAAACAAAACAAAACAAAACACATTTTGATTTACTGAACAAACATTTGAATAGGAGTAAGGTTCCGTGGTGCCAGGGAATGTCCTTACACCCTTAGCTGGACAGCTTAGGAAAATCTTATCCCGTTCTTGGCTTAGATGAGATTCCTTTCATCTTTATGATCCTCTGAGCAGAGAAAAATCTGTAGATTTCTTTCTAAATAATGGTCTTAAATGTCTGTCTTGAATATTACCTCTGTATACCTTCATCCCATTAAATTTACATTAAAGGAGATTAAATGCATGTAAAGTGTTCAGCATCCTCCCTTGCAAAAGAGATAACTCTTACTGTTCTCTTATTTTTGAATCAAAATGTACATGTAGAATGCACATTGATCTTATCAGGTCCTATGTGTGAAAGGACACTTTGAACATGAATAATGAGTAATTTGTTTTTAATTTGAATTTCTGTGAAAAAGAATGAAAACAGGGACAAAGCTTGGTGCCTTAGAAAGAAACATGACTGAAAACTTACCATTACCACTGAGTTATATAATATGCCGGGTGGAATGTTCATGGTTTTTGAATGAAGCATCTTACAGTCTGACCAGCCCCTTACACAATACATGCACCAAAACTCTCAGACAGCTCTAGCAAGGGCAAGCTCACCAGAACCTTCTGCCTTTGTATGTTTCTGACTGTCCAGATAGTGAACTGAAATCCATCTTACAGCTTCTGCCTGCGGATTTTAAGTCTGCCCCCTTGAGGCCACTCAAAACAAGCCTCCTCTCTCTTCCCCAAGACTGTCCTCAAGCTTTCGGGAGAATCCCTTGGAGTTCTCCTGAGCCTTCCCTTCAGCTTAAATATCCCTTGGTCCCTTGGGTTTGGAGACTCCTTTACCATCATGGCAAATCTATTCATACTTGGGTCTGTCAGTGTCTAAACTTAACATCAATACCTGGAATGATCATAAACAAGTCCTCAAATAATCAATTTGCAGTCACCTTGGCAACCACAAAGAAGCAGAGCAACCAACAAAGCTTTCGGAACAGCTGATTATACCAGGTGAATTTAATTTCCTGCTGCGCTAGCGTTTTATGAGAGACATGCTAATAAACTCTCCACGTCTCAGGGGGACTGAACAAGAGGAGATGGCTTAAATGAAAGCAGGAGAGACTTCAGTTTGTTATATGAAGGGCTCCTTGGCCTGAAGACATCTGAAGAGGCTAACCTCCAGCAACTTTTCTCAGCTGGGGCTTTGCAAGAGAATTAAACCTTGCAGAAAACGGAGTGACTCTTCTTACCAATTCTCCCAAGAATGGTACCTAACTATTACCCTCCTAGGGATATAAGAGAGAGATTAAGTTGTTACATACAATGTAACGGATGCCTTAGGGCATAGGGCTTAATTCTTTTGCTGAATCTGAAGGGCATCGCTTGGTGTCTCCTGCAGATATGGGAATGAACGGTGTGTGATGATGCGTACTTCCGTGTGATGGACGCAGTTTGGTGCAGAGGAGGGAACATGGCTGGGGGATCAGGAGACCCAGGCTCTGGGCCCAGAACAGTTATAACGTTACAAATAACCTTAATCAAGTCACCTTCTTTCTTTGAGCCTCAATATCCATCCATGACATGAGGTTGGCCTAGGTGACATCGAAGGCCCTCCTATTCTAAGCTGAATGAGGCTGTTGTGGGAAGGAAGCACGTGGAAGATCTCTGAGGAGTTGAGTTCTTGACTCTGAAGCCACTGAGGAGCTGGCGAGCAAAACCTGTCAATACCCTACAAAACAACTTGGCTATGTTCCCCTCCCCACCCCAAACTTCACCATTGCGATTCCTGCTATTCTGAGTAACAGGTGTACCATTATTTACTA